TAGAGTTTTCTACGTTCGTTTATCTCATCTGTTTTGGGTGGCTCNCAGTGAGTATGTTGCGGATAAAGTGTACACGCAGGGAGCTACTCATGATCAGGATGGGGGGTTAGGTTAAACAGAGGTCGATGATTGGTCACTGTTGGAACGGTCGCTGCACACGGAGTTGTACGGCCGCACCTCCCAATCCTGGCGAGCAGACATGCAGGCATACGATGACGCACACAGCGATAACGCGTCCCACACTAGAATGTTGAGATGTCGAGTGCCTAACTATCGATAAACAGCAAGACTTGAAAAGTGAACGCCTCCACTTATCTGGGCTGCAAATTGATGTGTTCGGATCAGCAATATAAGAGGGAGAGAGAGAGAGTTGTAAACTTATACTATCTAGTGAGCTAACTAGAGACTCGTTTGGCTCGATCTTGTTTAAAATGCACATGATGGTTGGCAACTTTTAACAACGACATCTTGGGTCTCTGGTCAAAATAGACTTAAGGCTCTTCTTAATACTGTGTGAATGCTGATCCTTAGATCATATTCTCATTGAAACATGATATGCCACAAAGTTAGTCAGGTGGATTAATGGAGGATATTCTCTTAATCAAGCTCCAAGGATGATTACTTAGAGCCGTCACGATTCTTGCTTCTATTGAACCTCGATGATTTCTAAGTCCAATAACTTGAGGGCTGACATCTTATTTAAAGCACAAATTTTAATGCTTCTAAAAATATGAGGTTGCAATAAAAAGACAATAGAAAATGTCTGGGATGGGAAAAAAGGAAAGTGGGAAGGACTGAGAATTGGAAGGGTAGGCTAAAAGTGACAACTTTGAGCGCGTAGGGCCAACGACCTGATTTATTGGCAAGCTCTCAATGGGTTGGAGGCTTTCAAGCACTATGTTCATTAGCGAGTAGCAAATTAAAGTCGTCAAGTCTGGAAAGGAACGCTGAGAGGGGCTATGTGAAAGTTGACTTTTTTGCACCTAGTTACAGACTTTACGCTATTTTTCGTCTCTATATCCTCATGACTGAGGTGTGCGATAGACTTACCTCCACGTGGTGCACCCTGGGCAACGTGTACTCATAGGGCAAAAAAGTCTATTAACTGGCAGTTGACTTCTCACTTCAAACTACCATCACCTAACTATATGCATATTCGATTACTTCCATAGTACTCACCTCACCTTTCTACCTTTGTGTCTGTCTCTTTTACATCTTTGAAACACTCTTCTGTCCCCCCCTCTCGACTCTTTTCAATTTGATGTACCTTCCTCTCTGTGAAGCCTGAAGTCAGTTAAATGGCTAATGATAACCATCAAGACACCTGCCATTTGATATTTACATCCCTATGACTCAAACCTCAACTGTCATGTCTAGAGAAGTTTATCGACTGTCCTTTTGTTCTGTAACTATCCCACTTCATTTTTAAATTCACCTACACCCACATCTGTAGGGCATCCGCTCCCAAATGACCCAAACGAAATTTATTTTTTCCACTAGAGCTAAGGTTTAACATTTGACTAACTGTACTCGCCCTCTCATTCCTCTCTGCCCCTCCCTCCCTCCCGTTTACTCTATCCTTCCTCTCGAATTGCATCGAGGTTTATTCAGTGCACATTAGCTAACGTCACTCTTTTGGGGTGTCTCGTTGATGCCGTCATTGCTTTGTCATTGTCTTAACTTCCACGATCTGGTACTGATTGTTTAAATGCCCTCAATCTGGTGAACCTAAATATGAGTCAAGCTTATAAAATGAACAATAAATCATACCAGTGGTGACGTTAATTTTAATTACCTTCGGATATGCGGGAATTAAAGTGACAGATAAAAAGCAAAGTAAATGAATCGATTATCCATTAGACAATTGAAAAGTTTCGCTTTTTAAGTTCTTTTACTTTGTTTTAAAAGTTTTAAGATTTCTTTTGAGTTGAATAGCAGTATGCCTTTCTATCTTATTTTAATTATACATATCAGTAAATTCAGGTGCGATAATTTAATCTTTCTTTCACGATAAACGACTGCAATTTCCAGTAAGTTGCCAAGCATTTGAGATATTGGTAAATTGTGAACTTGATTATCAATTACAATCTGATGATCAAAGCACTCAATCCCAATCAGCTCATATGAGCTCAATTTGACCCTGCTTTCAGAAACGGGAATCCACTTGTTCACCGCTGATGCTATTACCCACCCCTCCTTTCTAATTTTGGCTCTTTCTATTCCTACTTCTTCATTTTAGGTCAATTAAATTCTTATTTGGAGGTGGTTGATGCATCCAGTTTATCGACACGATTAGTCATTATAACAGAGGGGAAATATTTGTTCTAACTTGGTAAGGCTTCAATAGTCTATCCACTGACTCTACTGAAGCTGTCATTTATTTACTAAATGTTAATAAGTATTTAACTACTTAATGAATTTCTTTATGGTGGAGAGGGCGGGTTGGTACGCTACTACTACAATAGGTTAAATAGTGAATTTGTCAATAACTTTCCAGACTGAAAAAACGGTAACACCTGACCGCACAACTAAAATGAATCACACCTTTTAACGCTAAAAAACGTGGCTTATTTTTTTCAGTTTGCAAGTCACGTTTGAGGGGTTTAAAATACCGTCGGTTTTAGTGAAATAAAAGAATATAATAATAAATTTGTCTTTTTCTTGCACAAAATAAACTTTAAATGAAGGAAACATATTAAAAATTTGCCTCATTCCTGATTTAGTTTCTTAAGTAAGGTGGCTGCTTTTCCAAAATCCTGGACTTTTGGAGGAATGTTGGATCTTCCAGTTAAAGGTACTAATTTGGGCCTGATTTCGTCAAATGATGCTGCAGACGAAACGGTCTACATTTCGTAAAAAAGCAATATTACTAATTATAATTCCTGGTACATCATTTACTAAAAGTAGCTAATTCGCTGACAAATAGAACTTTGAATTTATATTTCAATAATTGTAATATTTAATCACATTAAGTAAAAAATTGAATATTACTTACTAAGCTACCTGATCTTGGACTAACGCTAGCCTTTGAAAGTGTTAACTCTCGAACTGAGTTAGAAGGCAACTCCTTTTTCTAAAAAAATCCGGAATAAAGATTACTTTGGAACTCACAGTCATGAGATCTTCAATTTCCTTCTCCATTTTTACGATGATAAATCCAAAAATTGCGAAGAAAACAAGTCCTACGAAGGCTAGTGTTCCAATCCATATTAGAGCTCCGCCAAGTTTGCATAAGCTTAAACGAGGAAAGTGAAAAAAATCAATTGAATAATTCTACCTGCTGTAATGGAGATCATTGGTGCATTCTGTTACGAGTAAGTAAAAGCCAGTGCCTAATGCGCCCGCCAAAATCAGCACATTTAAACAGACACCAGCCAAGATAGAGCACTTCCCAAAACGGCGAGTCATTTACTTTGAAATCTAAAGGAATAAACAAAAACTATTGTTTGTTATATCAATGCAGAATAAGAAAACATTAAAATGCATCCAAGAATCACCAGCAAACAAACGTTTTTATTGTTAATGCTTCATATATCGCGATCTTTCAGAAATAGGCTTTTTGATTAAGTTAACAGTACTTTCTTATTGGTTATTTGTGAACGACTTTGATGGAATGGTGCTAGCCACACAATTTTCACGTGGCCTTCACTTTTTTAACGGCACAGACCATCACCTCAATTTTATCGAGCCACAATCAAGAAATCCTTAAGGAAGTGAGAATAGAGTAATTGGAATAATTCCGGTTCAAGTGATACGGAATATACCTTTGAGCATACAAGTCAGACCGGCACAAGTCAGACTAAAAGCGTCAGATAAATATAAAATTAGAAATAGTAAGGAAGTCTTTGAGATTATATCTTAGATTTCCAAACTTATCACTTTATTAAGGTTACGATTTCCGCTTATCTTGTGTTGAAATTGATTCTTATTAATTATTGAGCATTTAACTGCCTCCGATCGTTGGAAATTTCTGCTTCAGGGGGTTCCCGTGCAATAGTTTCCACAAAATCGATCTGTATTTGATTGATTTTATTCTGCATTCCCAAATTTCAGTGAATCTGTTAGCATTTTCTTGCATGTGGACGAAACTATAGAATTGGTGTCATAATAACGTTCCCTCCTCTTTCTTTTGAAGTAACAGATTAGTTGGTGGTTTATTATTTACCTGAGGCCACTTAATGTGGACCCTGATGAAAGACAAATGTGCAAGCATATTTAAGTACCACTGTGTCAGGTCCGAATGAAGAAATAAATCAGCAATAGTTAATTAAATAACCAATGATTACGCTTACAAACACATACTCACTTAAGATAGATCCAAGACAGTTGTGCGAAGAACTGTTTACCATGGGTAACGCTAAGATGCCTGATTTTGTAAGGTAACAAAATGGTAACACTTGCCAATTAAAATGAACTTGCAACTCTAAAGAATACACACTGGTATACTACCAATATGAAACAAGGGTGGAAGGAATTGCGCATGAAGGGCAGATATTTACAAGTTCCGAGGGAATAAAGATGAATGAAATATTTATTTATTTCAAATGGCAGGCGTTATGATAGTTATCATTAGCCCTTTAGTTGACTTCGTGCTTCACAGAAAGGAAGAGGAACACCAAAGTGGCAAAAAGTCGAGAGGGAGGGGGAACAGAATATTGATTTACAGACGTAAGAGAGACAGACACAAAGGTAGGAAAAAGGTGAGTACTGTGGAAGTAGTCGAATATGAAATGCGGTGGGGTCTTGGTAGTTTGAAGTGAGAAGTCAACTGCCAGTTAATAGACTCTTTTTGCCGTATGAATATACGTTGCCCAGGGTGCACCACGTGGAGGTAAGTCTATC